TATACAGCGCAATGCAGAATACCACCAGCTATAATGTACTATTGCTGGGATTTGATGTATTCCTCTATAGCTGGTAGTATTCTGCATTGTGCTGTATAATGTACTATTGCTGGGTTTTGTAGTCCTCTATAGCCGATGCCATTCTGCATTCATTGCTGTATAATTTTACACTTTTCATTTCATTATATTGCACACCACACTTTTTTTTTTTCTTTTTTACTTCCACCGCTCCAAGCTTGCTCCTGTGATGGACTACAATCTCAATACAAACTAGTAGTCCATCACTGGAGCCATTTTTAATCTTTTTTTGATCCGATAAACCGATTAATCGAACTTAATAATCGGCTAACGAATCGATTTTGAAAATAACCGTTAGCTGCAGCTCTATACTATATAAATGTTTGAATGTTCATAGCCTGCCCACAGTTTCACTCTAAAAAAGAACAGTACCAAAAACTGATTATTTTATTGAGAGGACAGTGGTCAGTCTTCTGCTTGGTCTTTATAGCTCTGACAATAAAGGCTACTTCCATCCATCCACATAGCTGAAACACCGAAGCTTAGCTTTTTAGCCAAACTAATGTTGTCAAACCTGAATTAGCTCCAGGGATTTAGGGTTATAGCCCAGAGGCTTTGTAGAGTTTTGTATTGGATAAAGCCTCCAGTCTTGGGTCCACATCTAAAGGTGGCCATACACTTTACAACCATGACTTGTAAAGTACTTAAAAAAACGTCCGATCTGCCCATCTTGGACAGGCAGATCGTACTTGCCCTTGAGGGGCAGGCTTGCGATGACTGCAATGAGGGGCGGGCTTGCAAGGACGGCAAACAGGCAGTGTGCGCGCATCGGCCCGTTTGTCAGTTGTCGAACCAGCAGGCCACTCACTCGCCGGGAATCGTACGATTCCCGGCGGGGTTTCCAGCCTGCTTGTTCGATGGAAGACGTGCGACCGTACAGTAGAAACGGTCGCACGCCTTCCATACACTGTACGATTCTCGTACGATCGCGGGATTTCCCGCAATTCTCGTACGAGAATCGTACAGTGTATGGGCACTTTTACCTAGTAGCAAGACCTCATAATTAGTCTCAGCTGTGCACAGGCCTTTATATATGAGAGCTGACTGACTGACAGGGCTCTCTCTGTGAGAACAGGCTGCTCTGTGAAACAGAACACTGAAAAGGTACATGTGCTGCCTGTTTATTTTTGGGAACCCATTAGGGGACACCCCGTTAGTCAGGAACGGACCCAAGTTAGTTGCTCATATGAGTGGATGTTTTGTTTGTTTTATGCTACGTACTTGCTGTAGAAAGGCCTTCTGCATTGAAACTACTGTGTTTTTGTATGCTGCAGGACAAACCTGGTTGGGCTGTTTATGGGTGTCCCATGCTTTAAACTGCATTTTAACATTAGATCTGGTGTATCCAGATTTAGATTGGATTTGGTGTATTCCAGATTTAGAGCATGGGGTAACAGTGGTGCCAGGTAAAGCGTTTTAGAGGAAGCCGCAGTTACATGCTGCTTCTGACTGTACAGATCAAAATGTTCTTGTGTGACTCAGTAGTTGTTCAGAGAGAAGAGGACACAATGCTGATATGCTTGGGAATGATGCATCTGCAGCAGATTCAATGGAAGTAATGCCGTGACTCCGATACTGGCAACGATAGGATAAGCAGAGCTGATCTACTAATCAACTCCACACTCATATACCCATGGGTGGCTAGACTGAAAACTGTAGGTGTTGCTTAGTGTATGCCTATCATTTATAATCATTTATAATCATTTTTGACTGAAGGATGACACATTTGTAAGCCTCTTAGTGTTGTCATAAAAAAACATAGAAAAAGAATCAAAACACTTTAATTCAAATATACAAAAATGGACATCATTTGAGGTACATTATAAAAGAAATTCCTTACATACTTAAACTAGATCAGGGTGTGTTTTTCTCCCTTCATGGGAATCAGAAGGACCTGCAATTAGTTTATAAGGTAGCATTACTGTGGCTTTGCAGGATGAAATGTATGTAAATGTAAGGGCAATGATATTGCTGCATACTGTCTCTGTCTGGGCCCATGAGAGAAAAAACAAGTGCAGGTATGGCTAAACGTCACAAATACATATACAAATGCTAAAATAATGCAAACATCCCTTTCACACTTTACATTACAGCATACATACAGAGGCACAGTGCAGACATTGTCATAACACGATAACCTTATTGTGCTTGTGTACTGATGTTTCTGTGGGGCAGAGTCATAAAAACTGAAGAAAACCAGTTAGATGTGTACTTTAAATTTCCAACCTGCGCTACAAAGAAAAGCTGTAAACTGTTAGGTTTCTATAGAAAAGCTTCCACTTTTCTTTCCTCAGTTTTTTATTAGTTAATCCTACTCCACCTCAAAATTGAACCTGTGTTTTGCCTATGTAAGGGAAAGCAACAGATTTACTTTAAACGCCAGCTCCCACAGCAGCCTATATATTCACTTTGCCTTCACTCCACTGGGAACGAACAGGAATGACTCCAGGTAAGCTTAGCACAATCACCTAGAGGCTTGCATGAAGTTAAAGACTATCTTTACTCCCATGTGACAGTGCGGTGTCTGAGCGCCAATGACTAAGCACCAGCACTGTCAAATGAGAAGAAAGGGAGTCACATGCGACTCTACCTAAAAGTATTGGGTATTTCTCTTTGTAGCTGGTGGCAAACGGAGTAGCAGGGGGAGCGATAAGAAGGCACATACTGTATAAGCTTCTGTTGGGATTGGCTTTAAAGGAGAACTATGGGGTTATGGCTTTTCCTCATAGTTCTCCTTAGGGTAACGGGAGGACACAAACTAGCGTCCTCCCGTCACCCTAGGCTCAGTATACCGCGAACTGTAGCTCGCTGCATACTGAGACGCCGCAGTATACCGCGAGCAGCAGCTTGCGGGGTTATGCTGAGACCCCGCAGCTGAAGCGGATCCCGACAATTATGCCGGGATCCGCCCAGCTGCGTGACTGACAGCTGGCTCTGCCTATCTAGAGGCAGAGCCAGCTGTACCCGCCCCCTCCCCGTCTGTTCCGCCAGTCAGCGCTGGCGAATCGGAGCGGCGAGGGGGGAATCCAGCCCCTCCCCTGTCACGGCAGAGAGCCGTGACAGGATCGAAAGCTGACCGAACACCGGTATGTGTTCGCTCACCTCCCGATCTACTGAGCCGACCTGTGACAGTCTCATTGTCACAGGTCGGCTAGAACTATGAGGTGAGTGAAAAGCACTCACCTCATAGTTCTCCTTTAATGTCAACCTGCATGGGCAAAGCACAGTTTCACTTTAAGGAATAAAACTTTCGAACATGTTGCCCATCGCATTAGATTCTTCAAACTGAACTAGGAAAGAAACTGTTAAATTTTGCTTGGCTGATGTAGGCAACAAGAATGACATTTCTACTAGAGGCCCAATTTTTCTACACTGACACTGCCAGCCTGTCCTGCACATGTATCACAGTTACTTACTATACAATCCCAGTTGCATGCAAGAGTGTTGTTATTTTTCTCCATTACAAATATTAAGTATGCTCAGCATTTTGAACCATCCAGTGGCCAACATAGACTTCATAGGGCACATAAGCAGAATAACTAAATGAACCCTATTCTGTGCTCATAACAGTTGCACCACGTCTACATGCAGCCACCTCTTGGTACAGTGTGGCCTAGCACTCCACACTGCTTCATTTCCTTATGTGAAACACCACTCATCACCCTATATGCAACAGATGTGCCTTTGCTGGCAATAACAGCTTTAGATACATCTCTTCCAGTGCAAACAGATCTGCTCATTTGCCACCACCAGAACAGTTCAGCACCCTAAACTGTAAAGTCTTATCTCTGCTTAGCCCAACCTCTTTGCTAAAAGCTCAGGCTTTCCACTACACTGAACTAAAGTGCCCGCTTAAAGCACAGGAAGTATGGTGCCTGGTACCCTCATATATTTTAGCATTAGGTACTAAGTGGTTACTAGATGTTCTCTACCCCCTGTGCACATACTATTACATAATGGCTACGGAGCACTCCATGCTAATCTCCCCTTCATACAATTTAAAATCTATAAAAAACAAATACATGAATAGAAAGGAACATTCTGAATGTGTAAACATGTGCTATTGCTCTCTGCTTGTATCTTTAATACTGAAATTGTTTCCTGAAATATCCTTTGACATTGTTGCAATAGTGACTCCATGTTGTCACCTGCAAGCATACAAGAACCATTAAGGCTACATATTAAACATGTTATCCAAATTATACATTAGTAGGTTTGCACATTGTGATTTAAAAACAAAAGAAGAAATACATAAAAGAACTCCAATAAAATCTGCCCAGTGCTGAACAAAATGCCTTCCCGAAGGCATAGCCATCTCCAGTGCTCCAGTTCTGTGCTTTCCAGCTGTGACTTTAGTGTTTTAGTATTCCATGATATCTGAACACCCAGAATCACTTTCAAGGCTGAAATGCACATTGTCTATGATGTATTAACGATTAGGGGTGCTACTAAGAATTCTATTCACATTGGAATTGTTGCTTATAAAAACTGGTCAGATGTAATTTTTTTCTAGTGCAGGTTACAAACTAACATCCGGCCATTTGCTATGTGTAATACCTTCCTTGTTACTTAATTATTTTTGTTTAAAGAATTCTCAGTTCAGCAATTATTTCTTATACATGGGCTTATGTATTAAGGTAAAGTAGTAACTTATGGCAGTCAATCAGAGTTCTGTTTACTGTAATAAGTGTTTAAATATAAAAGGTTGTTAGGGGTTACTGCTATTTGCACATTGATCAAATGCCTTAGTAAAGGAGCCCACATATATGAAGCTAGCTGGAAAATAATAGCTGGAATTTTTAACATGCAAATATCCCCTAACATCCCTGATAGCTATAGTAATCCTTCTAACATGAAAATTAATCCAGAGAACAAACAAAAATTCAAATCCACTCTTCAGAAAAAACTAATAAGCGTGGTCATTTAAGAAGTGGTGGTCCTTTCTAATAACCTGCAATACTGGAATTGAAGGTTCATTTAAGTTCAGAGACAACAGTTTATTCTATTACTAAGCTCCAGTGATCAGTGCTTTATATCCAGGCAGTTATGGTACTCTTGGCACAGAGGTGTCATTGAGATAATAGGCCAGTCATGAAAACCGACATCATGGTAATATTTAATTGTGTGCAACCAGTTCAGAAATCTCTGAACATCACCACTGTGTTTTGGTGCGTTAAGGCATTTTGACCACTGATCTGGGTTAATAGTAGGGAACTAAACTGAGACAGAGACATACATGGAGGGTTTTGAGTATGGAGCATGTATAATGAAGGAAGAATCATGGAGAGGTCTAGCCAGGCCTGTGGAAAGAAAACAGCACAGAGTTAGTGAGATAAAAATTTAAAATCATTAAACATTCTCTTTAAACATATGGTCAACCCAGGAGAAAGATATTAGGGTTAGGTACTACATGGTTGGTTAAATCAGCCTTTGGCTTCTTATATGTCTTGGATCAATAAGATCTGCTTGCCATTATTCCTAGTTTAATCTGGATGTTTCTAAGAACCTTGGCGTGTTCCAGAACCTACTGTTACATTCTTCATAATATAAAATAAAGACAGAATCCAAAAGGGATCTCACAATGGTCACAGCAGATGTGTAAACCCAAGAAGTCAATGACGTGAAAATATAAGTGATAATGAAAGTTTTTACCCCTAAATTACAAATTTGAATGAAGAAATATAGCTGTAGTTTACATACACATAACACATTGATTCAGAACCTCAAATACTGCAGCAAGCAACACATTCCAGCACAAGGATGGGCAACATATAAAATTACACTTAAAATTTTGTAAGATTATAATTGCAACTGACTAGAGGATATATTACCCTTTTTAGTGCAGTGCAGTATTTTTATGTGCTTATTTTCCTATAAGGAAACTAAGGAATTTGTATTTGGATGGATCATTCTTTACTTAGAAAGTTAGTGGAAACCCATACATGTACTGTACTACATAAAAACTTTGCAGGTACATGTAGTAGTGTGCCCTGATTAATCATTGATGTCATAGTACATGAGTGGGAATGAGGAGATTGTGTCATTTTTTTTGTGCCATGATGAGACTATAACACATTTACACCCACTGTATAAGCTCTGCAACCTGTTTCTGTTCACGGAAAGATTCCAATACACACATCATAATATGCAGAGAAACTGTGGAGATACCTTGAACCTTTCATTAACGGGGTATTATGGGATACTGCATGAGTCCCATCTTGCCTAAGGTTTTATGTAGATGTTACTTTTATAGTTCTACAAGTGTCTATGTCAATCAGAAAAGTAATTAATTGATCAGATTGGTGCCAGTTAGGATGAAGGTGAGTTGCTGCTATGGATATAGTGCAATGGTAACATCAAAGTGCATATTTATAAGTGAATGGGTTCTTAAAATAAAAACTCAGTTCCTAAAATACATCCAGCTGTAGATGCATTATGAGACCAGTGAGTCACTAACAACCCTGCTACACTATAAGGAAAATTAGAAGGGTTTATAGATGGCATAAGGTTACATTATGGATAGCTAAAAAATATGATGGGAAATATTTTTTTACATCTCAAGTGAGTTTTTTTTTTGTCATAATAAAATTTAATCAAAGGCCATGTTTAAAAATGCTTTGGGATAACTCAAAAAATATCCAACAGGTAGTGCTCTCATAACAAGGTCCCGAATACCAAAGGAAACAACTGACTTACATTTAAGCAATATATTACAAGGTGGAATGGGAGCCAGAGAACTTCTGCTGTTAAGTAACCAAGCTGTTCCTTGAAATGTTGTGCTCTCACATTCAGGGCCAGATTTACGCTCTCTGCTGCCCCACGGCCAGGGTCCTCGATGACAACCCCCCCGCCCCCGTCAACTGCCAGTGCCGCCCTCTACTCCTTGCTTTACCGCTTGTATGCCAGATCAGGGATTCCTGCTGCAGGAAAATGCTAATTCCTGACACAGAAATCCCTAATCACATCTAAACTTACAGGTATGAATGGGGCCTAATGCGCACACACACACACACAGAAATACAACCCCCCCCCCACAGACACACACATTAATGCAGAATAATATATCCCCCTGTCGCACACACATAAAATAAAAGACAGAGCCCCATCACCTGCACATTGTCTGATGATCCAGTGGTTGATAGTAAGGTCTGGTGCAGACCTTACCAATCCTTCCTTTCGGCTAGAGTTTAGAATTGTCAAGAGCTCTGGCCCAATGGAATTACTGAGTGCCGGAGCTGACAGGAACAGCTATACGGTCTGCATCTGACAGAGATGCAGACCGTGTTGCTGGTTCCACAAGTCAGTATGGCGTGCCTGACTTCAAAGCCGTCTGCAGGCCAAATGGGTAGAAGTTCGAGTCCCCTGGAGTAGAGGTTGTGTCGCCGCTCTACTCCCTGCTGCACCGAGGCCATAGCCTCGGTGGTCTTGTGGGGGATCTAGCCCTGCTCAAATTATATAATAAGATGCACTGCCTGAACTATTTAGTATGCAAGTTATTCATTTTTCCTATGCCATATTAGATCATTCTACTTATTTATTTCTACACTACTCTAGCTGAGTGCCACTTTAAAAAAAAAAGAGGCTGTGATCTTTCCATTTAATTTTCCTTTACCGGTATGAAAGACATAAAATAACATCATACAATGAAGTGACTTAGTATGTAGAAGACATTAGTACTGTGACCCACTTGTACAGTGGCTGCAGCTGAAGGTGTGAGGTCTTCATGGGAGCCTGATATCCATAGGAATCATAGGAGCCAATGAAATCAACTGCAAAATGGAAAAGCAAGGATGTGATTGGTTAGTTATGTGTTGATACAAAATACTGTTTTTTCATTTTAAGATTTTTAAGATTCTTATAATATTATGTGTTAGCAGAAGCCTAAGGAATGTCTGTAATAAATTACCAGTTGTATGTCATTTGCTTAGTGCTATACTTATAGGGAAACTCCAGTTTTATATAACATACCATTGCTACACAAAATCATTTAGTAATTGTTTGAATTGCTTTAATGCCTCAAAAACAAGAGTATAAACACGGATGTAACAAGGCAAACAGTACATAGTCAGCATGGTGGAGTAGAATATTGTTTTTTTTAGCAGAATTTAAGTCAACATCTCTCAGTAAACTTACTGGGTATGTCCTGGGGTCAGAGATATTGGAGTTCAGAAAAGTGATCAGACATGAATTCTGTGACTGCTGACCTAAAGGGTCTTATTTTTGTAACTTTTCCAAATTATGTGTATCGTACACATAAAGGGTAAGGATGTGGCCAGGACATCCAAAATATGTTGGGCTTGAGACTTACAATGTAAGATAGAAAGTTTGCTCAGCTGGCCTAATTTGTAGTTTTATAATATTGTGGGTGCCATATACAGTAATAGTAGGAATATTAATTAGAATGCCCCAGGTATGCCAGCAAAAGTCTGTTTTTTTTGGTCACCTGACTCGAAAATTAATTGAGGAGAATTTATCAAAACTGGAGCAGACAAAATGTGGAGTAGTTGTGCATGGCAACCAATCAGCTTCTCTCTTTAGTTTGTTCATTTAAGATTTGAAAATAAAAAAGAGAAGCTGATTGGTTGCTGGGGGATCTAGCCCTGCTCAAATTATATAAGATGCACTGTCTGAACTATTTAGTATGCAAGTTATTGCATACCAGATTTTGTCTGCTCCAATGTTTAATACATTCCCCTCATTGTGTCTTGTAAGAGAGTCTCTTTTTGGTGCAGTCTACTAGTGCCATATCATAGGATTATTTTCTGAGGTTGGATTTTCAGTACAGTATATATAACCTTCCAGCATGTCTTTGGAGTGTGGGAGGAAACCGGACGAAAGCCACACAAGCACAGAGAGAATATTGTTTTGTTATCACAGTGCTGTGATTGATCATGTGATCTCAGTAGAGAAACCCTAGCACTCAATTTGCTAAATGAGTGCTATGGAGCATCATTCAGTGGGGAAGACTAAGGACATCTTGTGGCTGAGAAGAAGTACTGCACTGGAGAGGAGGTGATTATTGCAGACCAAGCTACTTTTTTTTTAAACAGTGGTGGTGGGGCTTTTTAAAAAGAAAAAGAAAACAGTTTCCCCCAAATTTGTTTTTAAGCTGGCTATACCCCAGCACATCTTGATTGTTCTCACCACACAACAATCTAAACCTCTAGAATGTGCAAGCAGCTATAGAACTTGTCATACAAAGAACATATACTTAGATATATGCCGTCATTGTAAAGCTGCTCCTAGCATGATATCGATTTATTATCCTGATGACTTTCACTTAATTGTATACCTATATTGGTCAGTTCTCTGCTTTGTGCAGAGCATTAGAATCTCAGAGCATTACTTACAGCTGTCTTCTTCATCCATGAAAACTTTGCTGACGTAACAGGCATAGACAAAACCGAACAGCTGTATGCAGGAATGCATGGAAGGGAAAAACAACATAATATACATATATTAGAAGACAAAGAAACAATACTGTATATTTTGAATACACCTTTTGTGTTATTAATTTAACAATTACCTAAAGGTGCTTTTTAAAGTGAATCTTAGTGAATCTTAGAATGTTACCTTAGAAAGATCTGGTTTCGAGTTGCATGCACGGGGTTACCCAGCCAACCCAAAGGGAACACACACGCAACACACACGCAACACCCCAAGAGTGAACCCCGCCTACAATGTTATGAATGAACAGGAACACTCGGTATGGAGGATTCTTGTTCATTTATAACAGGCGATACAGAAAAAGAGATTGAGGGCTCCGTGTCCACTAGGGGATTTTATCTTTGTCATGCTAAAAATCATTCTACATATGCTATATTTATTTGAAAAGTATATCCAGTCTGTTAACAGCTTTTTTTTTCTGGCATAGACATGCAATTTCATGTTTGCGCCTTGTAAGTGAATATGATTCAACGGATGTTCTTTTAGTTGCAATTAGTTGCAAATGGGCATGTGTACAAATCTGAATATCCACTCTTGACTTATAACAAAGGAAAGCCTTTTGCTCATGGATGACACACTTTTTTTTAATCATTTACTTGTATTCCCTTCCTGTCAGAGCAGAAGTGCAAGAATAGGCGGTGTTATCTTTTGTCTGAGTTCAGTGCTGATGCCAGACAATCCAAAAACTCTCATATCAGAAAGGATCTGTTAGGTTTCCATGAAAATAATTTCCTCTTGTTTAAACCCATAAGTCCCTAAGCTACTATCAGTATATACTGTAGATGAATATATAAATGGATATCCTAGTCATTTGGAAAGTTAGCAATAGACAATAAATCCAATTCCACAGAGACCCACTACACATTATATACAGGTGAAACTTGAATAATTAGAATATCGTGCAAAGTTCATTTATTTCACTAATGCAACTTAAAAGGTGAAACTAATATGTGAGATAGACTCATTACATGCAAAGCAAGATAATTCAAGCTGTGATTTGTCATAATTGTGATGATTATGGCTTACAGCTCATGAAAACCCCAAGAACCCCAAATCCACAACCTCAAAAAAGTAGATTATTACATGCAATCAATAAAACAAGGATTGTACATAGAACAATATCGGACCTCTGAAAAGTACAAGCATGCATATGTACTCAGTACTTGGTTTGGGCTCCTTTTGCAGCACTTACTGCAATTACTTTTGCACGATATTCTAATTTCACCTGTGTGTGTGTGTGTGTGTGTGTATATATATATATATACATACACACACACACTCTTTCGGCTCAACTGTTCACATCAGAGACAACACTATTTATACTTCCTTAAACCGTATTAAAATCTAAAAGACAGGTCTTCCCATATTAGGATCCACCACACTTGAAACAATCAACCATCCTCGGGCAGATCCTAAGGTACCATTGGATCTGTTCAGGACCTGCAGAGAGTTACAACTTCAGAAACCTACCCGAATGGAGGATATATGCTTTGAACTATAAAGCAATCAAATCCATAATGATACCTTCACATTAAATACAGAGAACAGACAGAATACCTCTGGTCACTTACAATAGAATCCTCAGAAATGTAAATACAATGCTACACGAGGAACAACAGACTGGTAATGTCTCCAGAACCATCATGTTAATCATACAGACAGCCAGCAAACTTGGTCAACTTCCTCGTCAGGTCCGTCTTGCAACCAAAGATTACCATTTTCATGTGGGCATGAAAAGTGTAATACATGCCAACACATCTTATGTATAAACCAACTGCCAGTAGCAATCTCTTCTGTACCCCTGTTTGCCATGACTTTTTATGCATAGAAAAGGGTAACCAATCAGCACATTTTAGCCAGTGATGCTAGTGACAGAAACCAGTACTGCGAAAATATATAATCTACTATTGCTGTTGCATGTTTGTTCCACATCAATGACTCAGAAAGGCAGAAGCCAAAGAATGCCAGACCACTTGTATTTTCAGATCAACAATGACAGTTTCTGTATTTCTGCCAGCACAGGTTTACTTTAGCACTGCACTGAATGCCATGGTACATTTGGTGGCTAAGTGCTGCTGTTTTAGGACACTAATAATTGAGCTACATGGCTGAATTGGCATTCCTACCTTCTCCAGTAGTGATGGGGGTTCCTACACTTACTTTTCATGTAGGTTGTGGTGGGACATGTTTCTGCACCCATTTCAACATCGCCCTGAAAAGGTGGCAAGGATTTGCCTCTTTTCAGTGGCAGGGTAATGCTACTGGCTGTAGTCCTGGCAGGGTAATGCTACAACTGTTAATTATTAAAGGTATTTTTTAAATGCAAGTAGAGTATGTGTCTGAATTTGACTTGATATCAGCCTCTTGCTACCCCTATCAACAGTACTCATACAGGAAGAAGGAGGGGGGGACTGGGAGCCAATCAGGTGTGCTGCATGGAAACATGCTGACAAGGAACACGCTGATAGGAGAGGAGAGAATGAGTATGGAAACTACCTTATCAGTCTGCTGCTACTCATTTACTGCCTAGTCAGCAGGTTGGGGATGGGGAGAAAATGCCACGGTGCTAATTAAATGCACATGGTGTCATCCATCTGGCTCTGCTGTGTGGTAGGGCTATTTAAATCTAAGGACTGGATGGACAGAAATACAAATGCTTTGGAAGGTAAAAAAGCTCCACTATAACAGTTTCCTCTGTGTATTAAACTTTCTCTGGAGTTCAACTGAAACTATGTTTGTAGTCAACAGGACATGCTTGACATTCCTTTCTTCAGAATCATATTGTGAACTTTACCATCATTTAAATATTCTATATTCCAGGGCAACATTTTCCAGTATCTTCTCACATTATTATGTAATAGGACTATATAATATGATGTGAACATAGCTTGACATCTGCCGAGAGATACTTCTGTCATTAATCGTCATAAATACTCACCGCTAGAAAAATCTGTAAAGCACTGCTCAGGGCCTCAATATAAGGATAATCAAGTAGACAACCAGTCACTGTTACCATATGATGATCAGCCAGTGACAAAGGGGCTGTACGAACTGGTGTCACCAGGCAGCCTGGTCCATTTTCCATCCACCATGATCGATGCAGGGAGGTGTTAAAGTTCATTATTAGGTCCTTGTGCTGTGGGCATAGTATTTACAAGAATTACTACCGGTTTTTACAGGCAAGAAATGTTATAAATCTTCCAGCTATATGCTGGGCAAGTGCCATTGCCACGGCATTACCGCCACTAGATGGAGCCAGAGAGCATAGTAAATCCATTTAGCGACGATATTCATTTAGCGATGGCATTCATCCAGCTATACGCTGGGTGGAAGATTTAGCCAGATAGTATAAAGTCATAGACTAGGCTTTGCATGTTAACATTCGAAGAAAGGAAAGCTAAGCATATCACAATAGTGACTTGTCAAATTTCAGTCTATACTTTTTTAAATGCTAGTTAGACAATAAAAAAAAACATAATTGATAGACATGGGCAACTTCTCAACAATTCTTTTTATTAGGATGATATAAACAAGATTTGCAAATGCTAAATCTTCAAGTTTAAAACTGCAGTAGTGAATTAGTGAGGTAGAGTATCCAAAAATATAAAAACTTACCTGTCTGCTGGAAATAACAGATCCCGCAGTGCTCTGGTTTGGGCCACACATACTGAAGCCAACATGTTGCGCATTAGTTTACCTGCTTTGTGGCTGCTTATGCCAGCAGAACCTTCATCCCTCTTTCATTGAAGACTGCTATAGTAGCACTCACATGCTGTACAGTCATGGTTTCCAGACACAGGACCCAGAACTGGAGCAATGCAGGATGTGCTGTTTCTAACTAACCGATACATTTTTACAAATTAAGAACCCCAATCCCACTTTCAAGATCCTTATCATCCCTTCTCCTCTTCCACACAGGTATTCACATTTCATTTCTTCTCCACCCTGCTTGAACTGCTGTCTGTCTGCTGCAACATTTCTTTATGGTATTAACATTTCCTTTCTGCTGCACCCTGCTTGAACTGCTGTTTGTCTGCTGCTGCAACATTTCTTTATGGTATTAACATTTCCTTTCTGCTGCACCCTGCTTGAACTGTCATCTGTCTGCTGCAACATTTCTTATGATTTCCCCTACAGCTATACATTTGATGTCGATATTATTGACATATACTCACTTTCCTGTTTTGTTTGTTAAAAAGGCGATGCTATATATATGGCCTATGCCTGTCTTCTCTTTGTGTGAAAAGTTTGCTCTTTGATTCATGAGCCTTCATCATTTCATAATTGATTAATTAGTATACACTCTCCCACACCATAGTCCTATACATTTAGATGTGCTTATGGGCAAAGGCACATTTGCCAGGGGGCATAGGCACGTTTGCAATGTCCATTTTAAGCAAAGTGTCTATTTTAAAATAAGTATCATCAGGGCAAGGCACTTGAGAAGGCAGAAATATATGGTAACCATGCTCCTGACAGACTGCAGGTGGTTCTGTTTTTCCCATCCTCCTCCTCCTCTCTGTTCTGTTCCAAATCTGACTAATACTCTCTATCCCTTAACATGCTTTCTCTACCATTGCCTCTCACAATTGTGTCTTCTCCTCTTAAACTTTCTTTTCTTTAACTCCCGCCCACAATCCACAAAAACTGCCCTCCTAAAACTCACTAATGGCTTACTAACCGCTAAAACAATGGTCACTACTCTTTACTCTTGCTATTAGACCTTTCTGCTAGTTTTTATACAGTTGACCACCCGCTGCTCCTCATAAAACTCCACTGGCTTGGCCTCCAAGCCTCTGCTTTCTCATGGTTGATCCTGTCCCCCTTGGAATATATTTTCTTTGCTCCTGTTTCTGCCTTCCCATTTTTTGTATTTCACACAAGTCTACCGTACAAGGTCTGTTATCCTTAAGGACAGCAGACTCTGCAATCTTTAAGGACTATAATTGCCTCTGCCTGGGCAAAAGGGAGATCATTTTATTTAAAGGTAACCAAGAGGTACCGTATCTATTTAAATTAGAATAATAATGTGACTTAGTGATTTTTAGTGTGTTGAGGGGCATTGCCAGCCCATTCAAAATGAAAGGGCCATTTTAGCGCATGTGTCTTAGTGAAAAGCATAGTCTGAATGGGCCCTTTTTTGTTTTCTTGTGTCTCTAGGAGACCTTAACAGCAAATTATACTTGCCATAATTCATGGCTTTTTCCCAGTTGCTGTTTATGCCCACTTCCACGTTCATGTTCTCCAACTCTTCCTGTTGCATTCTCCATTGTCTGAACTAACTGTCCAAAAGGGACAGTGGTACCCACTCATAATGGCTGAAGAAGGTTTTCAGACCTAGAAATTCAAATGCAGCGGTTTTGCCAATAGAGTCTGAGGGATATGAGAAATCAATGGGCTGCTTTAGTTGTCAGCGTCTAAAAAAACGAAAGTATCACTTGTGGGGTACTGAACCTTTTAAAGTGGAACTAAAGTTGAAAAATTATTGTTAAGACGTAGCCATTTTTTTGGCGTGTTTACATGGCCAGCAGAGCTGTGTACACTCTTGGCATCTGTATGAGCTGGGATAATGCAACGTTAGTGTGCATGAACAGAAGTTACATCACCAGTGGACATCAGTTTAGAAAAGATGGCAGCGGTGACAGAGTGGCAACACCTGGCATTATCTGTCAGTGCTAGAGAAGGGCAAACCCAGAGGTAAGTCTGTCATGATGTGCAAGTAAGCATACTTGCACATTATTGCAAGAGCATCCTTCACCATAGCCAAGCTTAGTTCTGCTTTAATTATTATTGCTTCAAAAAAAAAAAAAAGTGTAGCAAATATTATATTAAAATGGATCAAAAAGTAACAAACTGATTAAAGTTCTGCCTGCCCCTCACGTTGCCTACTGTCACAAAGACTTTAAAGTAGCCACCAAGTACTTGCATGCCATCCAGAGCAAGCTCTCTTTCACAGGGCACTTCTAACATAAACCAATGATCAAAGGACTGCAGCTAAGAGAGGCAGTGGCACTGATAGGCTACTTAATGAGGAGCAGCCAATTAGTGCCTCTCAATAAGTAATTAAATAAATACAGCAAGAAAAAAGTGCAAATACCATGTCATGTGATTATGGGCCCTTTAAAAGACAGCTTGGCAAGCTTTACATGGTTTATGAAGGTGTAGCAGATGGTTGATGCTCAAATTTCCTTTTGTAAACAATTTTACAGTTAAGGCAGATTTTTATATGTGTGCTAGGTAACACATGTAAACAACATCAAAGCTGGCACTAATAAACCATGCCTTTTGGATCAGTTGTCAGTCTATATATGTCAAAGTGAAGGCATCATCAAAAGGAATATGACTTTACAACATGGTGCATAAGAGCACCATGGAGCTTTACTAAAAACAGAAAAACATAAAGTTAACTGGCAAGCAAAGAAGGTTAATACTGCAAACTATATTTTCATACTGGCACATATTGTTCCTGTGGTGGGGATTACTTAATATGAATAAGTGTATTCAGTGCACTAAAAATGACATCATACCTGTGATAAATGTCCCACTTCCAGGTAGAAACAGATTATAAATGCATTCCAAGCCACCCATAATGCTAGCCACACTGAGTACTGTATGGGAATATTAAAAGACAAGCAAGAGGATCAGAGAGGTAGAATGTGCATTCAAAATTACATTAATGCAGTACTGGAATACAACAGCGGCATAGACAGAAACAGATAAACTTTTGTCAAGCAAAGCATTAGAATATTTGTCAAGTTTGTATTGCTGCAGATTACCCTTGCTTCCAGTGTAGTCATCTAGGCAGGAAATGAGGATACATCTCCCCAGTGGAAGCACAGACAATAAAGACCTTATATATTTTTTAGCCATTCTTCACTTTAGCCAAAACTATATATTGTATTGGAATTAAAGAGGAATTTTACCTACAATGTATTGTCTCTCAAAATAGTTACTTTTGCCAAATGAGCCAATCTGAAAATTCTTATCTGAACAGTGCCTGCATTCGGGTATTTAACAGCTGCTGTAGCAGTGGCTGCTGAATACAATAGCTGACAGCGGGGATTCCCCATCCATGCTGTTTAGCGCGTGCAGAAAAAGAGAAATTCTTAGGTTGTACAGCCAGCTTCACTTTTGTTTTTTTCTTTCCCTAAGGCCAGGGGGCTCTCATCACAGGCTGCAGTCTTTGTAAAAATTGCAGGCCGTGTGCATCTACACATAACAAAGCGAAGAAAATATTGCTACAAGATCACCTGCATCAACAAAAGTGGGATTGTGCAAGCTTCCAGGTTTTGAACCCACTGCAAACATTGCAGTGGATGGAGTGAACTGGTACATGGTGTATTTTAGCAGTTCTTCTGTTAATCATTACACTATAGCTCACAAGAAAACACTGGAATTAATTATCTCATATCTACTGGTGACATGCACTTTTGCTTAATAGCTTAAGCAGGGACCGCCTTCTTCAAGATGCTCTTGCAGTTTCTGATCTCCACTGATTACATGTGTACATCACAAAAATCATAATTTATTGGTCCTGGCGATGAACAAAAAAGCGGAATTAAATAGCCAATGTCTGTGGAGCAGCTGAGTTTCTTGTTCTGTCTATAGCAGGGGTAGGCAACCTTGGCACTCCAGCTGTGAAACTACAAATCCCGTCTCTGCCTCCAGGAGTCATGTCTGTCACTGTTAGAGCCTTGCAATGCCTCATGGGACTTTTAGTTTAATAACAGCTGGAGTGCCAAGGTTGCCTAACCTTGGTCTATAGTTACTATGCAGATTGCAGGCAGGCTAAGTATAAACCATGCAATGTTCGCATTGCCCAGAACCTGTTATGGCAACTCTCAAAGTCTCAAAGCACAGGCATAAAAAGGGGGAATTAAGACATTTTATTGCAAAGTTGTTTTGTTTCCTTGAATATATTAAAGTAGCTACTTTGTTTTTAAATGAGACATGATTGGATTCTATGATGTCCTAACAGATAATACACTAAGTCACTACTATGTTCATTGTCTTTATGTAAGGTCCATTCAAAATGTTATGACAAATTCTGATAACTATTCTAGGAAGGAATCTTATAATACACTTTACATACATTACATGTAAGTACATGTAATTATACAATCATTATATCCATTTTGTTGAGCTATGAGGAAGATAATGATCTTATCTAAAATGTTGTAAAATTACACACTCCTTCCCTTTCCCATCACAAAAAAAAGGATCAAAGGGCAACACGTGTACCACTGTCATCATGGTGGGACCTGTAGTGCCAAAGGCTCCTGGGAAGAGTGGAAACCTGTCCCTCTCACAGAAAAATATCTTCTCATCTATGAGTAGCCTAAGGCTTATTAAACAAAACTGGCCATTTGCCTGCCTAGTGAAATCATCCAATGTTGTATCTGTGAAATGGCAGCAAGTTGACAAGAATATTTTAAGATAGCAGCTGTACTCCTTAGACTAGGTAAAATATATTTTTAATTAAAACACAGTGTTGTCCCTGGCTTCTCCACACAGCATATATTTACAAAGGAATTAGATCCATCAAAAGGCAACCACTTTCAATAGCTAGGATATAAAAATAAGATGCAGTGGTTGGAACGGACAACTGCTAAAAAATGACAGATCAATTTAGTCCAAAAAAAAGGATTGCAGGGTAGGTCACATAGCACATTCAGATAATCTATATGCTGCAAATATTAGAAAAAAAGTTACACAAATGGATACAGATGGAAAGCTAAACTGTCAAATATTTGGAAGATATAAAACCTCTAAAGATCTCAGTATTTTGAATTTATAGTATAGTGGAGAAAAGGCATATAATCAAATAGTGACAGAGTATTTCCTAAACCAATACAGAAATTTTTGACTTAGAATTCATTAAACAGATCCTCCCAATACTTCCCTTACACCTTTCATGTTGTTTTAAGTAGAAGTCCCCTTTTTATGAAATAAGAAAATGGATCCTTGGTACCGATCCTCAGTTAACATTATAAAGGGGTGGCCTCTGATCATTTGAAAGAATGTCTGAACTTACCAATATCAGGTACTTGGATCTGTAATGCAGAGTGCCAAATATTCCCAAGATGACCACCATAATATGCAGAAAATTGGCTAATATTGGTGCCCACTGGTAGCCGAGGAAGTCAAAGATTTGTCTCTGTAGTGCAGCTGCCTGTTATAAAAGAAAACCAAATCTCTGAGGTAAATGGTCAGTGTCTAAGGGCAATAAAGTAGAAAAAACACTCATGTCTGCTTTACTGAAGGATTATCCCATAAAAGTGCTTTGTGACCTAACGATGTTACTACAGCTAAAGACACAAGGCTGAGTGGTCCATAAAGTCTCTCCATATAATAAAATATTTATTAGAATCATCCACTGGGCTTGAAATATTATTTAATCGGGGGCAGACAAAGCATGTTATATTACTATATCAATCAATCTATACATTATTTATATAAATATCCTTTCCTTTAAAAAAGGTTGTGCATCATGATAAGATCATGCTCAATTTCTGACTCAGGGCGGTAGCTAAGGAGTTAAACAGGAATACTATGGCAGAAGGCATGGGGTAATTAAAAAGCTTTTAACCACAGAGATATTCAAGTTAAATTGGATTATTGAACTGTAGAGTAGCCAGTCACCAGATAGTGCTTGAAAGTACTCTGGGATTTGACACATGCAAATGTACAGGTATGGAATCTTCACCCCAAGATATTGCATTTTGTAGAGGCTAGGCACAACTGTGCTTTAGTAGACTTTAGAAATTTTTTCCATACAACAAAAAAAACTATTTAGTTTCAATACCTAAATGTTTCCACACACATGTCTGGAAATAACCATGCTTTGAGGATCCACCAGACACGCTTGTTCATTGTGCAGGGTATATGTTACATGCACCATGCGTTTTGTGTTAAGAAGCCATTAGAATGTCCTGCCGCACTCCTTACTGAAGAACCCTTGAAGGTGGGTGCTGTAATGACAGCGGATGGCTTCGCAGGGAACAAACGTACAACAGAATGTCACAAGCACACCAAACAATGTGGTCAAGTGTTCATCCTTTATTGACGCATATTGTCAGATAGAAGCAACGTTTTCGGGGGCCGCACAGGGTCCCCTTCATCAGGTACAGTGAATAAGCATAAGAAAGATTTTTGTTTTACTGGATGGTTGCTAACAATGAAAGGATAGTGGTGGAGCCGAGCTGATTCAGTCCCAAAATATGTCATTTTCAGTCTTTTTAAGGGCTTGTTTACAACAGCATCCGCGCTCAGCTGCACGGCAGCGTGTGTTTGTGTGTGCCCCTACGGTGCCGATGCACTTGATTGAGCTGCATTGCACTGTATCTTTTTTTCTTTGAACTTTATTGAAATGTCACAAGTGACATTTCATTAGGTTGTGGTGGCTCACCACGGTGCGAAGCGATTGTACCAATTGTAAAATAATACCTAATGATCCTGCCCTATATGATTCGCACCAACGCGGCTGGGGTAAACCAGCCAGGTAAACCAGCCAGAAAAAAAAAACAAATTAACCATACCTCTGAAAGTTTTGTTTCTTATAAAACAGCCTAGCATAACAATAAAATGCTGATAATCCAAATCAAAACACCACTCACATTCTGAATCCGACTTCTTAACTCATCTGTGTCTCAGTTGCAGGCAACAAGCGTGTCTCTGCTTCAAGCAATAAAAGTTCAAAAATGTCGCACTCCACAAGATCTTTAAGGAAGATAAAAGTCTTTATTCACAGAGCAAAAAACACACCACCTATAACTCAATTCCTCAATCCTCAACCTCTAATGCTTTTCACCATTTCGGCTTAGTCATAGATATGATCTCTATAACTAAGCCGAAATGGTGAAATGCGTTAGGGGTTGAGGATCGAGGAGGAGAGTTATGTGCAGAGTGTGTTTTATGCTTTTTTGAATAAAGCCTTTTATCTTTCAGTAAAGATCTTGTGGTGTGTGGAATTTTTGAACTTTTAATGAAATGATGATGCTTTGTATTTTTCTCCACTGCAAGACCCGTGAGTGCT